AGAAAGCCTTTCCCCTCCTTGAGATAACATTGTTCTCCAGGACACTCCAAAGAGCGAGGGACAAGTGCTAAGTAATCAGCGTGGCTCCATCCAGAACTTTTCCAGCTCAGCTCAGCCTTGTAGGGCCTAAGCTGGGTTACGTCTGGGTGTAGTCAAGCTGATTTCTTTATACTGCTTTTCTCAGTGTTTCAGCTCAAGAACAAACATACTAGCTCACTGTCAGCATGGCAAGAATGGATGGAGCTTGAATCGCTGACCTGTGAGACTCGTAGTGCAGGAGTACCTGGTGCAATGGTAGTGCATGGAGCCAGCCCATGGAGATTAGTGGAGATGCTCCTGAGCTGGCATTGGAGGCTGCTCTGGCATGAAACCATTTCTGGGCCTCTATTTCTAAGGCAGGGTTATTCTGCTACCCATGTCAGCAGTACCTTGATAGCCATGCGAATTGAAAATGCACCTGAATACAAATTGACAGTACAGCCTTCTTCCAGGTGTTTCTGGGCTGAATCCAGGCTGTAGGCTGCCTCTTGGTCATCCTCGGATCTGTAGTTCCTCGTAGCCGAATTCTTCTGTTACTATGGTGTGATAAACTTAACTGGGTTTGTCACCTTGTCTTAAATAATTTCCAGAGTTCTGCAGGTGATACTTCCTTTACTTCTTTCCATTACTTCTTGCTTGCCAATACCAAAATGTCCAAAAACCAGTGTTCTACTCAGTTTAGTAATGTTAAGCAAAGCTTGGGTTGAGATTCCTGGAGATGGTTGGAGATCCAGACGATTCAGTTTCAAGTTGTTCCATTTTTATTGCTTGTCCCCATTCAGATGCATTTCTTTGGGAGTGTATCCAAACCAATAAATGGTTGTCCTCTTACACTTTGTATCTCATGAATTTGGGAGAACAACAAGAACCCCAAAGGCAAGAAGGGGCTGAGGACCAGAATTAGATCTTAATTAAGTTAAAGCTTTTATTCATGGTTTCAAAATTTGGGTAGTGGAATTTTGGTTTCGGGTTTGTTTTGCAGCTCTTTGCTTGTGAGATAGTTTGTCAAAAAGTGAGACTGCTTTATGGCTTCTCTGCAGGCTGACCATGACTGGTACATCTTGGGACATTTGCCCAAGTAGGCACATTTGGGCTCTCTTTGATGTATAGACTGCAGAAAAGGATGCTCTAGGCTAAAGACAGAGATAGTCTCAATAAAAAGCACTGAGTTCATAAAGATAGTCCCCACCAGATTTCAATGATGGAGCTCTTAAGGCAGCTTGAGAGGGCAGTAAGTGACACAACGAAGGATCAAACTGAATTTTCTCAGATGTCTTACGTGTAGCCTGTTGAGCCTCACATTTGGCAAGAGCAAGGGTAGCTGAAACTGTCCAAGAAGGAACGTGCGTGAAGCTGTTTCCATCTTGTGGGAGCTCCTGTCCTTGTTGCGCTGACGTGCAGGGTGGGAATAGTCATGTCGCATTCTTCTCCATTCAGAGAATAATTGTACGTTCTTGTATTCAAATGTGAAAGTGGGTTTGACCAGCTGTGGATTGATTAAAAGGAAATGTTCAGTCCCTGAATCTCTCCTTTGCATCATTTTGGTGCAATTTAGTGCCAGAAAAGGCAATTCTCTGTGTTCTTTGGTTCACTACGGGACTTGTGTGTGAAGGTGATGTGTCATTGGAGAACTGTGCCTATCTAGTGTATAATGACTACGGTTCTTCTGGTAGGTTTTGTCTGTAAAGGCAATAGAGCATCTTGTCTGCTGCCGCTGATTTGAAGCCCAGACACCTGACAGTAAATGAATTTCCTCAGAGTCACTTGTTGCCCATGTGTAGCAAGCGTTGACTCTACATGAAAACGTGGTCCACTGGATAACTATTCAGAATACTTCCAGAAGGATATACCTTTTTCTGTGAGCCGAAGTGACTGTGTGGTGTGTCAGGAATTAAATTGGCTAGATTATAATTTGCCTTTGCAGTTATGCTGCACACAAATATGCAGTAGTGTTTATCTAGCTGTTAAATTTACTGTAAGGGTGGGCAGAGCAAGAAAGATTCCCTGTCCCCCCTTCCCCCCCCCCCCCCAAAAAAAAGGAAAAAAAGAAAAACACAGACAGTAGCTTCTGAACTGCAGCTGAAACCTGTTGCCCTGTACCAGAGAGGATGCACTTCTCAGAAAGATTAAAATTCTCAGAGAACAGTTACACTTCTGTATTAAGTAGAAATCTGCAACTTAAAAGTTTGAAAAAGAACCCAGCTCCTTTGTTTAAGGTTCACAACTTTTTTTCTCTTGCCTCCCCTGGCATACTGAAGGCAGCACAGCCCATTAAAAAAAAAAAAAAAAAAAAAAAAGGGAGTAGCAGAATAATGCTAACTATTCTGATGTAGTATAATACAACAAAGTCTTGGGGAAAGTATGTTCTTGTGGAATAAGTATGTGTTTTGCCAACAAAAATCCTATGTCATTGTGTGTTTCAAAACTTGACTTGTAGTGGAGTCAGTTCAGTCTATTAGTATATATTATAAATAATATAATATTTGATGATGCACAGTTGAGATATGGACCTTGGAATTTTGCAGGTCTCTCTCCTGGGAGCGTGGGGAGTGGGTAGGAGATGGGTGCGGAGAGGAGAGGCTTTGCTTCATCCCTTTGCCACAGGAAAAGGAATGTGCAAATTGTGTCAGACAAGTAGGGCTTGTTTTTAAAATAACAGATTCAAAGATAAGTGTTATGAAAATAACTCATTTACTGATAACTTTACTCACAAGATGAAAATTTAAGTGAAAAATAGACTTATCTGGGTAGCGTAACTCTTACCACTGGTGACAGGAAAATTGATAACACAGTTTGGGACTGACAAAGCAAGTGTTGTGCTTATCACAGCAGACTTCTGTATTGTGTTGTCTTGCAATTTAGTGCAACAAATCAGATTAAACTCTCTAGAAATGCTATCTTAAGTGTGCTTCCCTGCGCAGCAGAGACTTTGGAAAATAATGCAAGTTGAGCAGCTTTTGATGCCCGTGCTTGAGTACAAGCTTTGGTCAAGGGGTTGGACAGAAAGAAAAAGTAAGTTCTGGAAGGTGTAGGGACTGTGCACAGTACTGTGACTCTTGTACCAGTGCAGGTAAGTGCATCTGGGACATGTTTTAGCCCATTGTCAACCATTGCTGAAGTGGAAAACTTTTTCCAGCTGTAGACTGAGACAGAATTAATGGGCTCTCAAGCACCAGGGAGGCTGAGGATGTGGTAGAGCTTTTTCAAATCCTTTGCGTTCAGCGGCAGGTCCTGGGTGGACCGGTGGCCGTGCGGGGCAGGGCGATGGACTGCTGCACCTAGAAGCTGAAGATGGGACTGCGTAGCCCCATGGGTTTATCCAGCACGCCCCACTGCCAGGGGATATGCATTAGGCTTGCAGGACATTTGTTCAGTTATTTCTTACTTCGTGCTTAAAAACTTTTAACCTTACTGCTAAAGAAAAATACCATTGTCTATTAGTACGACTGGAATGAAAGATGAATAGTGAATTAGCCTTGAGCGAACTGTCAATCTGACTTTGATAGCCCATCACTTAAAAGGTCCTTTTATGTTTATGAAAAAGCATGATGTCAAAGCCAGGGAAAAAAAAATACCAATACTTAGGGCTAAACTTGCATAGTTTCCAAGAAAAGCCCCTGTGTGAACTGTTTGTTTCTCTACATGCATGGCTAATTAGCGTAGGATACTATAAGTCTGGGCAGTGGCATTCAGGTTTCTTCTGCTGTTTTGGGGTAGCTTGTTTATGGTGCTTCCATATGTGAATCCCTCAAACTGGAGCAGCGTAGAGCAAAGGATATTGCAGTCGCTTCTCTCGCAACCTCTAAGTAGTATGCTGGAAATGCTTGAGTATAATCATTATCAGGTGAGTTGTTATTGCAGACTTACTTTAAAACCTGTTGCTAAGAAGGCTTACAGTATACAGGCCATCCTTTTCCTCTGGTATCTAGTATGCTTTTTTAAATTTCTTCCACAAAGATAAGTGGGGAACATACGTGGTCACTTGTAACAGCAAAAGTCACTTTAATGGAACTGTTCTAAACCAAAAAAACTTCTCAGAGTTTTACTATATTTTTGCTTGTTTTCTACCTTCTGATAAAAACATTAATGGTCAAAGAAAGGTGACAAATAGTTTCCAGGATATGGTGAAAATTTTGCATGGAAAAAAATTGCCTTTCTTCTCTTGCTTATTTAGGGTGTGCGAGAATAGTTCAGTATGAGGTTTTTCGTATTTTATATTAAAAAAAATTGTAAGTACTGAAAAGCTTATCTTAAATACAAAAATAGCTGTTGCTGAGGACAGTGATTGATCTGAACTGAAACACTTCTTTTCTTGCATCTTATTTGCATAATGTGTTTATAAACAGGCTGTCTTATTTGTATATGATTTAGGCCATGTATCTGAGAGATAAATAATTTGTAGGAAAAAAAAATGGTGTATTCCCTTTTTTTAACCAGTGTGTTACTTTCAAAAAAAAACAAAACAAAAACCAACAAACCTTTTGATCTCTCTGTTACTTGACATCTGATAAAGGATAGCAATCCATACTATTTGGTTTTAATTGGTAGCTACAAACAAGTAAAATGAGTCCTGCAGTGCAACTTGTTTCTCCATATTTTAGTGAAAACTAAATGTTGCGTAGCTGAAGGTCTGAACGGAGAACCGTCTGTTCTGGAGTATCTGTATAAACTGGAAAACCTGAGTGTTGGCTTTAAGGGAAAATCTCACATCGTAGAAAAATAAGTGGAACTTCTTGGTTTACCATTTATAAGTCAGTTATTGAAACGCTAGCTCATAAACTGATATATTGCCACCAAATGTGAATTAGTGAAGCGCTGCTGACTTCCTTGGGGACGTACAGGTTTGTACTTTTAAGTGAAATGCTTAGCTGGTATATATGTCACAAATGTATAGCTCAAATCAATAGCACGTATAATGATGTTGTAAAACAATAAAGTACTTTTAAAATTGTGTCATACAGGTGCAGACTCACCTTGAGAATCCAACCAAGTACCATATTCAGCAAGCCCAGCGGCAGCAGGTAAAGCAGTACCTCTCTACCACTCTAGCAAATAAACATGCCAACCAAGCCCTGAGCTTGCCATGTCCAAACCAGCCCGGTGATCATGTCATGCCGCCTGGAACTGGAAGCAGCGCGCCCAACAGTCCAATGGCTATGCTTACCCTTAACTCCAACTGTGAAAAAGAGGTAATACACTCTCACCCTGCATATTTTTCAGTAAAATGGAATTGCAGTCTGCTTGCTTTCTGTTTTAAACTGTATTTGATCATGTTAAGATGTTATGTTTATCTTCTTTTCTGAACTGTTCACTTTGAAAATGCGACCACTGTCTCTGTGTCTGCCTGATGAATATGTATTTGCATAGAACATTTTGGCAAAAAAACCTGTGTCCGTCTAACTTCCTCTTTTTTGAACTATTTTAGCTAGTTATTAAAACTACTTACTTTTTTTTTTCCCTCCCCCTTGCTTGATGCACACAGTGAATAATTGACCTTTGGAGAATACAAAGCAGTTTTGTAAGCTGTAGCTTTCTGCAATAATGTTATTTATGGCTCATTCAGTGTAGAAAGAGCCAAGAGCATAGCAAAAATAACTGAAAAACACAAAGCTTTTTGAGCTATTTTAGATATTTTTACAGTAAAATTTGAGCAAGTCTCTTGGTTAGCTGGAAGGCCAGATTATCCCAGCTAATATACCCTAAAATGTTACTGTTTGCTGTTTCATGATGAGCTCAGTGCTGCAAATAAAAGACTTCACTAGCCTATGCCTAGAAGTCCTTTGCAACCTTGTCTTAATCTTTGCTGGCAAAAACTTAGTTGGATGTGACACGTGTGCTCACGTGCTGAAGGAAGACGATTGAAAGTTATTAACAAGTGTAAGAATCACGTCAATAATTTTGTAACTTGACAAATAGAAGACAATTGTAGAGCTCCTCGTGTCCTCTCATCCTCCCCCTTCAAGCCTTTGTGCCAGATTTTTAATACAGATGCACTCTGTGAGGAAAACGTTATGCAACTTTGAGAAACAGTTATTACAGAACATGTTTTGCAGATGCAAGAGAAATTACTTGTGCTCCATAGCTTCAAAAGAAAAGAAAGTCAAATAGTTCCACCCTATCATCCCAGTTGTACCCAAATCTTTTTTTTCCTCAAGATATTTATAGCTTCACTTTGCTGTGTCATCAGGCACATGTGTGCATGACACTGTTTCAATCGTGCTCTTTTGGGGACGGAGACTGTGCCATGAACTCAGATCCATGCTTTGCTTTTTCTTTTTTTTTTTTTCCCCCCCTTCTTTTTTTCCTTTTTATTTCTGCAGGGATTTTATAAATTTGAAGAGCAAAGCAGGGTTGAGAGTGAGTGCCCGGCTCTGAATACACACTCACGAGCATCATGCATGCAGGTACTGGATGACACAGGAGTTGGAGCACAGGTCCCCTTTCAAATGAGCATGTTTCTTTGAAGTTATGTTGAAGAATAAACTTGCCCCATAGTGTCTTTAAGAAGCTGAATATAAGATGTATTTAAGGAACAAAACAATGTTCAGTAGCATTGATGTCAAAAGTGCATTAAGACACCTGAAGAAGGCTAGTGCTTTTCTAGCACTGTAATGCTATAGCAGAAGAACGTATCAACCATGCTTTAAAGTCTCACTTCAGGAAATCTTTTCTAATGCAGTCTTCTCAAGACTGCATGTATGTGTTCTTGTCCTGATAGATTCTAAGACCACATTTCTATGCAGATCACAGTTGTGTTTAAAAAAATGAGAGAAGGTTTTAATCCATCCATGGTAATTTGTCCTCAGTAGTCATCCTATTTTATTTTATTTTATTTTGATTTGGTTTGGGTTTTGTTTTGTTTTGTTTTGTTTTTTCAGCTAAGGGTTTTTTACTTCTAGTAACGAGACTTTGGATATGGGCTGTAACTCTTAGTTCCTTTCTTGCCCTCACTTGCAGTCAGTGTAATTGGTTCTGATCACACTTTCTGGAGCTGATATAAAAATCCCATATAGTACTATTTCTACCATCAGCGTTATGCATTGATTCTGTAGATGACTGTCATTTAAGCTCCTTTTTTATAGTGAGCAAAAAGGAAACAGTCAATCCTGCAGGGCAGTTTGGAGCACCTGCACGGGTTTCTCCTGCCTGTGCAGGAGCTTACAAAGGCACTTTCCAGCCCAGCCCCAGAAAGAAGATTGCTTGCATCTGACTAAAATCATCTCCCAGCTGCTCTTGGGTGGTGCTTCCTTGGGTATGAGGGACATGAATCCAACAGATTTTGTTGTCCGTGGTGGGCAGCCTGTCACCCAGCAGCAAGCCTTTGTTCCCTCTCCTTCCCCTGCGGGTGACAGGGGCTTGGGCATTACTGTCTGTACGCAGGTTTTGACCCCACAACTAGAGGAAGGAGGTGGAGGGTAGGCAGGCAGTGCTGCACGGGGGAGAGGGTTTCACATCGTTAGTGTGGCTTATTTTATGGGGAGCTATCTCCTGCACCGTACCTGGGAGGAACAGTGTGTCCATGGGCAGGGTAACTGCTGGTGGGAGGAGTGGGTTAGACCACAAAGCCTCATCTTTCTCATGGCCTGAATGTCCTGGCTGAATAGCGGGAGTCACGGCTGAGGGATTGGATTTGGTGCGTGGCAAAACTCAAAGGCACCTCTGCTTGGGCCCACGCTGCAGAGAGCCAGCGTGTGGCTGGAGTGCTTTGCCAGGCCTCTGTATCCTAGTGGTTTTGGTAACTGCTTCGTTTTTCTTTGTCTACCTTTTCTGCTGCAGATGGATGATGTGATCGATGACATAATTAGTCTGGAGTCAAGTTACAATGAAGAAATCCTTGGCTTGATGGACCCAGCCCTGCAAATGGCAAATACGGTACAATGGTCCTTTCCTTCTGGTTTCCCTGTTAAGTCTAATTCTCTTTCCTTGAGAGAATGCAAAACTGTAGCATGCGTTTTTTTCCAAACAATTCAGTAGTTACTGTATTGTCCCATAAAGTGTAATTAGTTTTTCTTTGAAGAGCTGAAGGTAGACAGTTGCAATGAAAAATGTGAGTTTAAAAACACAAGCTGGAATCAGGTCGAGGCAGTACAAGGGACAATTTTGCTTTTCTTATTTCAAAGTCAGGTTAGTCTGTGAGAGGATTGTAACAGAGGAGTGAACTAGGCTAACCAGAGTGAGCTCATACCCCTTCATATTTAAAATCGCCATTGTCATTATACTTGGCTGTGGAAAGCCTAGAAGAAACCTCGGCACCCCAGGTTCCTGTATCTTACCACGTTCAAGTAAGAAATTGTACGCCATGCTTAAGCACATGTTAGCATCCCTATCCAGAGACACTCTAGTTTATCTGTTAGCTCTAACATCATAGCTTTAGCTTAACCTGATTTCAAATGGAGAGAAGGCCCTGGCTAGATGACAGCAAAGATGTTACAAAATTTAGGGGGAGAAAAAAAATAATTAAAAAAACAACCTTCAAAACAAACAAAAGGGGAAGGAATAAAGAAGCTTAAAAACTGAACGGGAGAAGGGGACATAGGAAGCCTGTGACAAAAGACAAAAACACAGAGGTGCGAAAGTCAGTGAGTGAGGGAAGGAGCAGGTTACCTCCGAGTTGCTGTTTCTGGTTGCTGGTTCGCATTGCTGCGAGCATTAATATAATCGTACTTCTGGCATAATCTTATTTTGATCTTTTGTGGAGGGTAGCTCCAGTGAATTTTTTGCCTTAGGCTTAAGTGCTGTTAGATCTGGCTGAGTAGATGTCTGCCAGGGCTGGCGTCTGTTTCTTTTTTTATCTAGTGCCAAAATTTACAGCTTACCACATAGCATCAATTTTGTAGCATAGGTTTACATTTGCTGACAGTACTCGTCTGATGTCGTGTTAACCTAGTCCGACGCTCCCACAGATTCCCACAGCCCTCTTGGAGACGTGGTGCATGCCGCAGGAAACGGCCCACCAGCATCCCTTGCTAAATAGTGCCCTTTGAGTAGACTGAGAAATAACTGCAGAGTCCTACCAGAAAAAATAAATTTTCCTTTAATGTAAGATGACTTCAAAAGTGCATCTGCCCTGGAATTGGAGAGATTAGAGAGGAGAACTTAAAAACCTGTGAAAAAGATAGTTTTCAAGATAGTTACTCTCTCTTTTTTTTTTTTTTTTTCCCTTCAGTTGAGGCATCTGGTTCTTCTGGAGTCCTTTCTCTGAAGTTCCATTGGATTGGGACCCATTAAATTAGAGAGGACTTGGATTTCTTTGTACTTTTCTTCCTCTCTTATTTCACAGGTACCCCAGCAGTGGCTCTTTGTTTCCAGGCAAGGACATAATGGTACTCTGCACTCTTCTGGTGCAAGGAGTCCATATGGTCAATATTTAGGGTAGTCTGTATCCCTCCTGCTTTCTGCGTGACACTAAGCCTTGTAAAGACTGCCTGATCCACATTTGCCATGAAATTTCAAAAATTGCCCACTGTATGTGATGAAGTCTGTAACATAAAGAAATAAAGACTTCGTTACTAATACATTTAAATTGCTGGAGACAAAAAGCATGTTTCAGTCTCTGAATTAACCTCGTACCAGTCCTGAAGAGATGGAAATTGAACCATGTTTCCCAACAGTTGGTTTAGGGGAAAACATTAACTTGGTGTAACAAACAGGTTTCTTTTGGAACACAATTTAGCTCTTAAAACACACAACATTTTACTAATAAGGAATTAATGTCTGTAGACTGAGCTAAGTAGGGGTGGAAGAAATCAAGAGAGGAAATGGTCTCTAAAGAGACGCAACCTATAAATAGCTGTGCTGAGACTATGACAAAGGCTGCTATTGTTCCATAACCAACAAAGAACAAAAGGACCAGTTTGTTACATTTGGTAACAGTACTTAATTGATAAGCAAAAGCAGAGATTTCTGTGTAGAGGGAGCTAAGGGAAGTTTCCAAGTACCTCTTAATTGAAAAGGGCTCATTGCAATCAACTGCTCCTGGAAGTGTTTGTAAACTTTGGTATTGGGTCACAAGTTAACTGGCTTTGCTTCTGTGGTGAAAAGTATCACAAAATGGTCACTAGTTTGCCAAGAGGGTTTTCTCCATAGATATGACCTAGTAATTGAATTGCTAGGTACTGTGTAAAGACTCTTGTATGCTAAGTTGAGATGTCAGCTAATTCATCCAAGTAATCAATTCTAGCAAGAGGCTGACATGGAAAGCCATGTGAGTACGTGCAGCTCCACTTCTAAATGTGACTTTCCTGTGGAAGTTAAACTCCAGAAGTAGAGAGGAGTCTTATTTCAGGGACTGTTGCTGAGTGTGTGCTTGTAGGTGAGGGAACAACACAATAATACATTGCAGGCTGCATGAGCTGGGGAGCAGAATCCATTCCAGTGCGTACTGATACCTTAGAAGCAGCATTGTTGATCACCCAGCTGATGTCTCAGTGATTTTATACAGAGCCTCAATGACCTGAATGTGGGTGCTTGTTTTGTTGGAGTAGTGGAGGAGAAAGGAAAGCTTCAGACTCCCCTGAATGTACACTATGATGAATCTGCAGAAATAATAACCATATTTGATATTTCTGTTCTATAAAAGCAGTTATTTAAAAAAAAAAAAAGGAAAAAAAAAGTGGATGCAAAGTGATAGGAAGGCTGAAATTTGTGCACCTTGTGAAGCCAAGGCCTAGAAATATGAAATCTTACAAATGAAGGCATTTTAGACCATGCTATTTCAATCGAGATAACAAGCTAAGCCTGCCATAAGCCACTCTTCCTGCATTTACTTTTTAGGAGAGTAAAGGTGGATGATCTGACTGACGCTGTGTTTAAATTTCTTCTTAGCCAGAAGTAGCTAAGAAAGCCTTAAGGAAAACATGTTTAGGCTGGAAACATGCTAGACTTTGAAGAAGACAGGGAAGGAGCCTCAGCGCCAGAAAATTCCATGTCTTTCTCAAAGTTTTGAGACTCCATCTTCCCAATGAAATGGCTGTGGGAGTTTTGAACGTTTTCCCATCTCTTTGTACTTGGGGAAAGGCATGAAAGGCTTGACTATCTTAGTAGATTAGAGCTGAAATGTTTGCAAACGATGTTTAATTCTTCCTAGTTTCTTCCAACAGGAAGCATTTGAATTAGATGCCTAGGTGTTGCTGCATTGTGTCCATCATAAGCCCCTTCTGGTTTTGGTTTGGGGTTTTTTTGACCCTTTTCAGCCTAGTGGCTGCTTTTGTGTGCTCACAGCACTGCTGACTTGTCCATCTCAAACCAATGCCCTCAGCATATAGGGGTCTCCTCCCCTTTGCAGTTCCCTAAACTCTGCACTAATGATTATTGGTCTTACCTTACAAGTCAACTATTTTATCCCTCTGGGACCTGGAATATAATTGTGAACAGAGGATGTGCCTCAATTTTAACTTATCTTTAACTGCAGGTATTTTAGCCATGTGAGATGAGCTGAAGTGTTGTATGCACTTCATATTTTTCATTTGAAGTGAATCGTATAAAGTTAGTCCCAAAGATGTGACTTGCAGCCATTCTGGAGAAGAGGCTTCTCAGAGGCTCATACTGAGTGTGAGTGTGGACCATACATGTAGTCACACTCATAGTAAAAAGTTAAAACTGAAGGTTTGACCTGTGGAGTTCAGCTTGCTGGGAAAAGTAGTCAAAGAAAGAAGCCAATCAGTCTCTTTGCTTATGGATCACTGATTTAAACTGAGGCTGTTGGCATCGACCTTTAATACAAATTTCCTTGATAAGCATTCATGTGCACATGCAAACCTGCAAAGTTTAGCAGCTGTGCAGATTTCTCCCTTCATCTTCCTTTGTTTAGCTAATGCTGCATCAGCAGTGCTTGTGCTTTGGATGTTGCACAGCTCTTAGTTGGGTTCCTCTGGTGCTTGCAAGTTCTGCAGGACTTCAGTGTGCATGTTCAGCAGCCGCTGCCTGTGTTACTGTCCCCTTTTGTGGTGATTGCTTACACAGGTCCTGTTTATTTACACAGAAAATCTGACACGTCTTTACACCTGGGGGGGGGGGGGGGTAAAAAAAATATCACAAACTTATTGAACAAGCCAGGTCCATCTTGCAGTAAGGCAAGCAGCTTGGTGACTTTAACTGTTCTCCCATGTTTCATTATAACCTAGCTGCTGTACGCAGGCTTTGAGATGCTAGTTTCTAGATTTCTGAAAAAAATGTATTTCCCTCCTCCTGCCCCAAAATTCCTAATTAGATTTCACATGTCTGGTTTTGAACTTCAAGTCCCTGGGCTACAAACAAGGTCTTTGTGCTCTCCCTGTGCATAGGAGCATGAATAGAAAAAGCACATCCAAGTCAGAAGGGCGTATGACGCTATTGCTGTGCCTATGTCATGGATACATTTGAGGGGCCAAAAGATACAAGGGTCAGCCTTGTAGAGCAGTGAGAGCGAGTGGTCACCCCGACATTAATGCGGGTAGGTCACAACTGGGACCATAGTCTGTGATGGACAGCTGTGACCTTAGCTTTATTATAGACGTTCCTTTTTTTTTTTCTTCTTTTTTTTTTCATTTTTATATCGCAGTCAGGAGCTAAGGGGAGGGTGAGGAATTGTAAGACTGAATCTTGGTGAGAATTCAGTTATATTTTTCCTCTGTCACTTGAAGATTGAGTCAGGCGACTTTGTTTTTGTTGTTGGCCACTGTCTGTTCAAGACAAGTATCAGCACGGCTTCTAGCTGGTGGTACTTTAATGGATGCGTATCAACTTGGCTTCTTATGGTAGCTCCAGACGGAGAAATTTTCTTAGGTCTCAGTCCGGCAAGGACCATCAGTAGGAGTTCAGTAGTCCAGGCTGTGACTCACTCCATTGTTTTCAGCAGCATTAATTACATGGGTGTAAAGTTAATACTTACTCTAATCACTGCAGGATCAGTGTCTTGGGGGGATTGGTTTTCTTTGCAGCAATGATAAGAAGTATTGCCAGTCAGATAAGATATCAAAGTGGTTTGTACCTGTCTTTTTCAAAACCTAGTTTGAAAACAAAAAAGAGATGGGTAAAATAATCCACTCGGGGTAAATGTAGACTTCTTTAAATATGTTTCAATTTAAAGGGGTATCTTTGATAAGTCTTGTTGGAATACTATCCTATTTCTCTATAGATCTCCTTTCTTAAACATACCTAAATAAGAATAGCAGAATGAACAAGTAATTGAGGAAACTTAATGTAAAAATAATCTTCCTCCTACTGATGCGTGTTCTTGTTACATAAGGCGAAAACCAAGTTAAAGGAAACTTAAATGTTTTCTGTGTAGGTAGCTTTCAAATCACATGAAAAATGCAATTGATTAATACAGTGTTCTTCCTCAGCCATGTGACAACTTGCGAAGTACTTTCACTCACGTATTCCTGAAAAAAGAGGGGCTTCCTCCATGAGAGTTCAGTAGGCTCTTTCAGATGTTTTGAGTAAGAGAAGCGATGGGGGTACAGATGTAATAGTTTCACTGAAAACCAAGGAGCAACAATACTGCAATATTGTCAGCATGTTACCTCTTCTGCATATTCTCTGCCTGCGTATTCTTGAGGAGAGAAAACAGAATTTTCCCAATGTAGGTGTTTTATTCCTCAGGCCTGTGCATATCTGTGACTTTTGCTGACCTTCTTGCATGCTCTGTTTGCACATGGAAAAGAGCACAGATTTCTTAGCAGATCCTAACTCTGTTCTTCTGCACAAAGCCTTTCATAAGGACAAACCAAATGATCCTTTTCCTTGTTTATCTTTTCCAGTTGCCTGTGTCTGGCAATTTGATTGACCTTTATGGCAACCAAAGCATGCCTCCTCCAGGACTAAACATCAGCAACTCATGTCCAGCTAATCTTCCTAATATAAAAAGGGAGCTCACAGGTAAATATGTCTAAAATACCACCTTGGAGCAATAATACAATTTTATAATTTGTTTCACCTGAATAGGTGATACCGGGTATAATTTCTGTTACGAGAAAGAATGTATGGATGAATAGTTACTTTTTGCTTTGCGGACCATTTTTTAGCAGATGTATTAGCCTGTAATGCAGTTGTGTGGGTATGTGTGTTCACTGTGACAAGTTACGGTAAAGTCCCTAGTTGTTATAGTCAAATCTGCACATTGAAAGCATTGTGTCACAGGAAACTTCCACGCGTCTCTTGCAGAGCTGTTTTCTAGTTTGGGCTTCTTGTTTGCTCTATCAATACCAAACTTCAGATCTGGAGTCTCTGTGGGATTCATGTCGAGGAATGCTACATGTTGAGGCTTTACTCTACTAGGGGAGGGCAGTAATGAACAAATAGCCTGTTGTAATATGAAATCTGGACACCTAGATCCTATAAAATGTAAAATTAGGCACTCAGAGAATATGGATGTCTTTAATTAAGATGAAAATGAAGCGTCCTGTATATTTCTTGTCCTGTCAGGTCCTCCAGCAGTGCTCTGAATAAGCCATCAGAGGCAGGGGGAGGGAAGGGGGACATTAAAAGCCTCTTTTTCTCAAGCACATGTGTACAGAAGCTAAATAGTTTCAAGGAAGAAGTAAGTTTTGTATTCTCAAGCATGTTTTATTTTTGCTGTTTCGCTTCACTTGAAAGGATATAACCACAGGTAGGTTACGGTAAACAAGGCAAGCTTGTCCGCAGGATGAACAAATGGAGATCCATTCTAGAACCGATGACAAAATCATCTTAATACCCAGAAATGGCTGTTCTTAAGCCCAACAGGGAGTCATACTGTATGCAGTATGGTAGAGGCATAGTTTCTTGTCTGTCGTCTTTCTGGGTTTATGTTGTGAAAACTCCCAGGCTGACTCAGTTGCAAAGCAGGTTCTGGGCAAGAATTAGTTTAAGTAGAGCAGTTTTAATAGCCCAGGAGTCAGCTTCTCAGGAGGAAATGCCACATCTCTGAGCTGGTGGATATTTGCATTTAGATGACTGCACAAAATTTGAGTTCAGCACCAAATGAAGACACAGAAACTGCACAATGAATTGTGGCTGCTAGAAAAAGAAAAGCTTGTACAGTGATGGAACTATGTTAAGAGGAGGGTGGGAGGGGATGAGAACTACTCAAAGTCCTGCGTTACAGACAGTTTCAGTGCCCCAGTTATAGATAGGTAAAGCTGGCTGTAGACTGCAAACTAAACATCCAACTTGTCAGATGCCCGACCATGCCCAGGCTGGTGGATTCACTGCAGATGGTTGTGTAAGACTTCAGGCAAAGAAGGCAGAAAGACAGGGGAAATAAGTGAGTGAAGTGGTCTTATGGAAGTCCTCAGTACATCAGAGTAGACCTGAACTAAGTTAAATGTCTATATGTTATATTCACCTGTACAGAGAAAAAAAATCAGGTGAGTGCTTTTTCTGTTCAAAATATATGCTAGCAGATTATATTTTATTTAGGAGATGTTTAGAAATTAAACTCAAATTTAACAGTGTCACTTAGACACTGATTTGGCCAAGCCTTTGTGCAGAAAGCGCTATTGATGGTGCTTTCCGACAGCCAGTGATTTTAAAATTGGCGTGTTATTGCAGGTAGGAGTCTTTTGGTTCTCCACTTCCTGATTTTGCTGTTCGAGCTAGGCTGGAGAGAGCTTGCGATATTTAAAGCTAGCATCTGTCAGAAACTTTTCTTCATCTTGCTGTATAAATATCAAAATGATGAAGAACACTGCCCCCCCCAATCAAATCTGTTATCCCCAGTGTCTGATCTTGATGATGGTTGTGAGTTCTCAGCTGTAGTTACTGAAGCATTTAATGGGAATCCTGCTCACCCAGGAGTGCAGTTTCTATCAGTTTTGGCCTTTCAAACCTCATATCTGCTTCATAAGGCAATGTCAGAGTAAGCCCAAATTTCATTAAGACATGCAACGATCTTTCGCACTTTTGGGGGGATCCTTTGGGAGCCTAGCACAGAAAAGGATATGTCTTGTTATACTGCGTATAATGTTTGGATAGCTCTGTATTCTAAGCAATGAAGCAGTAAGCTTCCAGTACTCCAAGGGAAACCCTTATCAGCTGTTATTTTGAATTGTGTGGGACATAATCCATGTTCTTTAACAATAAAATAATACAGGAAAGAAACTTGTTGGAGTCAGTGAGGGGTTTTGTTTCTGTAATGGAATGTGTGATAATAGATCATACACTCATTCCTCCTCACTGACTTAACTGTGAAACTAAATGCTTGGTGGTTTTGAGATTTAAATGCAACAGGGCAAGGATTAATGACCTCACCTTTTTAAAAAATTAAAACACATAGAGCAAAGATGAAAATACTTAGAATTGCTTGAGAAATGTAAGATCAAATGAGAACTGAAAATAACAAATTTAATTATGCTTTTGCCTGTACTATTGTGTGCTGAAGTCTGATAATAAACATGTGGAGCAAGGTTAAGAGCACTTCTGAATTGGGGAGACAATTAGTGTGCAGCATGGTTATCATTACTTTTCTTTTTGCTTTTCCTGAAGCAAGGACCATTGTTTTCTAACATTATTGCTAATAAAGGTGTTGAATTTTTCATCTTTTTTTCATAGAATAAGAACAGTTAGTGTAACTGGAAAATACAGTATTTTTAATAGGTCGCTTAAGTTACGTCTTGTGTCTTGTGGTGATGTGCATGCACGTGCCACAGAAGGATGTAGCCTTAATTCCAGTGAGCAGAGCCTCTGACTCCTGGCTGCTTCACATCCTGTGCAGGTAGCAATGCAATAAGCATGCTGCTCCTCTGGTTCAGCTTCTGTGTGGTACGTAAGCGTGCCGGCTGTACGTAAACGTAGGAGAAGGTATGTTGGATTTCAGCAGTTTGTTGTCCTCAAATACCTTGCTGAGTCAGGGCCTCTGTGGGAAACGTTCTCGTCATGGAAGTCAGTATGGGAAGTGTGGGTAGAAGTGCTCTGCAGGTGCAGGAGTGAAGTTCAACACCAGCGTTGTGTTTTGGCAATCACAGCTTACTGTACAGGCCCTTCTCACCCCTTGGAAGGAGTGTAATAATTGCTTTGACAAATATCAATCAGACTTCCTGCGCAAATGTTTCACAGACTGAAATGTTGTGTTTGAATTGCTTGAATTCTAATTACTTCATTCACATGCACAGCATGTATTTTTCCTACAGAGTCAGAAGCAAGAGCATTGGCTAAGGAGAGGCAAAAGAAAGACAATCACAACTTGAGTAAGTTTTGGTTCTTCGCATTTTGCACCAATTCTAGTAATGATTTTACACATTAAACATTTGAATGCTGCTGTTTTAAATCTGAACAAGACACTGCATGTAGTATATAGTACCAGTTCATTATGTTATGCCCATAGATGAAATATCTTGAATTCTTGTGAAATGTATGCTTAAATCTACTATTGAATTTTAAATGCTTTTTTTAATAAACCAAGTGAACAGGTGGTTGTTATCAGTGGAATTACTGGGAACAACATTTGATACAGCTGCTTTTAACAAATCCACCTTGCACAATTTTGCCTTTTTTTTTCTTTTCCCTTTGTTAACCTAACCTAAAATCTTAGATATGTGGTCAATTTGTGACTTTAAACATCAGTGTGCACCGCTCAGTGTGGCAATTTTAAAAATCCTCGTTTTGAAGGGAACACTTATTTCCAAGTTGGGGGAAAAAAACATTTTAAAATAATGAGCATCTTGTGACTTAAAGGATCCTTAAGTTGTCCTTCTATACTTTTTATTACTAGAAGAAAGGAACTGTTTCATGCCTTGAGCTATTCAGAAGCCTTTTTCATAGCATGAAAAGCTAATGCAGGAAAATTGGTATTTAACTTTTGCATCCTCAAAATGTTGCATTTGGAAGAGTATTTTTGAAAAAGAGCCTATACATTTTGTCCCTTTTCCTGCTTTGGGATTTCCTTGAGCATGTAAGTTTTTGTCTCTGAATTTGTCTGTGATGCTTTTCCCTAGGAAAACATTTGCTTCTCAGCTGAGTCCTATGCTAATGCAGCCATCCTGGTTTTTAGTGTCTCAGTTTAACTCTGCCACTTCAACAGTGCCACATTTTTACAGTATAGACAGAACTTCTGTCTTAGTGTGTCCATATGTAGGAGAGCAAAATGAATTACTCTGTTACTGGATTTTAAGCTTCAGATGAACATTTTAAAGGTGCTTAAAGAAATCTTTGGTGAAACACTTTGTATGTTGTATTTAAGTGTGAATATTACTTGTAACATTTGTGTTGTTTTTCCTGAAGTTGAACGAAGAAGAAGATTTAATATTAATGACCGTATAAAAGAACTAGGCACTTTGATACCCAAGTCAAATGACCCGTAAGTATAATGTGCCCAAGGAGACTGGGGGGGGATGTGTTTAAAAAAAACCACAAAACTTAGGGGAGAAAAGCTTAGGGGAGTTATTTTTTTCCCTTTTGGAACTTGCTGAAGTTACATTAATTTGTTGATTTTTGTCACAAAACAGTTACTGTACCATTGTGCAGCAGCTCAGCACCAGGCAGGGCTGGGGTTGATGCTAGGAATGACTGCCTTACCAGAGGTCGAGTTGTCAGGATGTGAAACCTTTGTCTAGTCTCGCTGCTTAGCTGGCTGCCTGGCTGCTTGTCTTGCTAAATGATTCTTTTAATTTATTAGATGTCATAGCCTGGCAAGACAGAACCAATCCCTCTTTCTGTGAAAATGGAGGGCAGTTCATCAGGGAAGCCATCATATTCCCCTTCCCACCAAGAAAAAAGCAGCAAAATAAAGAACATAGCTGTGTGACTGTTCACTGATAATTCGCCAGTGTTTCTGGTAATTTCCCAGTAGTTCTTTTAGGTAACTTTATTGCTACTAACTTGTCTTAACACTTTCCTAATGCTGATTCAGTAGCAAGGACCCCCCCTTGCTCTGGAGCTTGAAAGCGTCACTTAAATCTGAATCAATGCCCCATGACACTGTTGGGGAGAGTTTCCATTATTTTAAGGCAGATGCTTATGGAGCAACTTATAGCTACTCTTCAGAGAGGCTCTTCAGCTTCCTCTAAGGCAAGCAAGACAATATTGCGCAGTATCAACCTACGGGACAGGTGGAACTTTGGTCTGATGGTCTGCAGTAAACTTTTTTTAAAAAATTTAAACAAAGTAAGATGATGTGGGGGAGAAGATGATGCAGGCAGCCTCTCTCTCTAAAGCGGGTGTGGGAGGAATAGTGTGGGAGAAGCAGTATGGGAGCCATGTAACTGCCTGACTGAAGAACCGTCACCTCTAGGCTGCAACGCGGCATTTGTGTTTTATCCAGGGTTTAAAGTACTTGAATATGCTGCTGTATTGGGCTCTTCTCTTCCTACCGTAACACAGCTGCCATACAGTGCCACCAGGAGGGCTATTGCTTGCTGCTTCTTGGGAGCTAAAGAGAGAGCCTCAGGTCTTTCTCCCACAGAAGCACCAGGTCATATATGATCCTTTTAATTCCCCAGCCGAAATCGGGCATCACCCAGCTAGCAAACCATGCCACGTTTTGAGAAAGAGTCTTGCGGGGTTTCGTTGTCGTTGTCTTGCAGCCTTGCCATAAGGCAACGAAAGGAGCCCCCAGGTCTTCAGTGGCTCTTGCGCAGAACTGGTCCCAAACTGGGCAGAAGGCAGGGGCTTGGCCCCGGGGGGGCTTTGGGGAGCCTGGGGGGGCTGCAAGGCAGCGCCTGGGCTCTGTGCCTTCGGCTGGGCCGGGGCTGGGGCAGCCTGCTTGGCAATAGCTGTGCTCTGGCCCCCTCTAGTGCATTTCGAATGCCTTCTGTATGCATGAACTTGGAATAAATATTAGCCAGGTGTTAATGTATATGTGAGGTGTAATCATAGCTACTGATGTGAAGGTAATGACTATAAAATAAAGCCTCCCTGAGAGCCTTAACTCTTCCTTTTTTTATTGATTTCAAAGGGATATGCGCTGGAATAAGGGAACGATTCTAAAAGCCTCGGTGGACTACATCCGTAAGCTGCAAAGAGAACAGCAGCGCACGAAGGAGCTTGAGAACAGACAGAAGAAGTTGGAGCATGCCAACAGGCACCTGCTGCTCAGAATACAGGTTTGCTGATAAATAAGCTGCAAGTGCCCTTGCTGTTGCAGTGTGTGGCTGCAAATAATGGTAACTGAAGCTGGTTTGTAGAAATATGAGTTGGAAGGAACCATCATTTTAATTAATGGTGACCAACGCTGAGATGTCTGCAGAGATGTTTCCAGAAAAAAACCCAAGATACACTAGTTTAAAAAAAAAAGTAAAAGTCCCAACACTCTAGCAAAGCAATTAGGGCTGGTCTATTTTTGGTCTATCGTGGCCAACATAAGTTGCAAACCATCCTATAAAAAAGGTTTGTATGGTAATATTTTTTTCTGGGTGCCAGACCTAAGAAATCGGGACTTCATTTATCATCTATTTGTTGATAGTGATGAAATTCAGTTCAGCTGTTTGGGAGTATGTTCACTTCAGTTGTCTTGTTTGTGGAGGTTTTTTGACCTATAGCTTTAGTGCTTTTTTTCTTCTGAAGCTGTTTCGGACAAATGGCAATAAATGACATCTTTTTGTTTTGCTTGTGGATTTTCTAAACTATTTGGGGACCAATCTAGGCCCTATCTGTCAGAAAAGCTCTGCAGATTGCGGTCTTTTACATCTGATCTCTTATTTCTTCTCTTCATCAGCCTGTCCCTGATCTTCTGCAGGAATTTGTTATCTGCTTTCTGGTGGAGGGTAAATACTGCTTGCAGGACAAAATGGGCACGGAGGGCAGTATTGGTGACAGATGCTGCAGCACTGTATCTTGAGTTCCCCATAGGTATCTTGGGGTCTGGCAGCTGTATTTAATGTTGAAGCTGCCTGGCTTGTCTGAGAGCAGTTGCAGAGAAGCACACCTAACGTGAGGGCTCCAAGAGTTTTTGCAGCAAGACAGCCAAGAGCTAGGGATGTTGAGCTGCTTTTTTTTTGTCCAAGGAGCTATGGTTTGTTGTCTTCCTTGTTCCTTGGAGTCTGTAGGGCTGTAAAACAGTTCTGTTCAACACTGAAAAGCAGTAGGTGGCATGAATATGCTTTCTCTGTGGGTTGTTGCCTTGTTAGATTCACCCAGGTTCCCAATAGCCTATATTACACAGAGATTTGGGGCGAGAACTGTGTTTCTCTAATTAATTCCTTTGCTTTCACCTCAAGCTGGATAGGAAACCTTAGCCTTGCACCCTATACACCTTTTGTTGTCAACCCTGTTCTCCAGGTGGGCGAAGATAGCTGGCTATCCGCCCCCCTTCATAAAAGGGTAATTAAAGAAGTGTATCTAGAATTGGGTGTAAGAACACCTAACACAGAGACAGCGATGTCCCAGATACTCTCGTGTTGCTACTCACCTGCAGTGTGAACAGCTGAACTCTGCATGCAGGCTGCAGTGTGCCAGGCTTGCTGCTGTGTCAGGAGACCCCTGAACCACAGCACGGCTAATCCACAAAGTAGATAATGAAGCTAGAAATACCTGAGAGTCAAGTGTGGCAGTAAACAGCTTTAAAATAGAACAGGCTGGGTTGAGCTTCAGCGCAGTTTTTGTGCTTTGTTGGGCAATCTGTTTGCTCGAGTGAGATGATAAAGATGTGCAGCCCTTCTGCGGAGCAACATCAAGCAGATGTTAAGTCAGATCACTTTTTAAGCATCTTTCATCTTCCTTTGCATTATCCATCTGCTCTGGCTCCTTCTTCAATCAAAAAAAACATAAAAAACAGACCCTTGAATAATGGGCAATACAACTGGCAGCAAATAACCTAAAGTCTTTTTTTTCCCCTTTTTGCGTTGATTCTGATTAAGCACAGAGTAAGAAACTCCTGATTTTGGCACATTAGCTGATGGAATAAGTGCTTCTTTGTTCCACCTTCTCCATTGATCTTGCAGTGTGCCATTACAAGCTTGTTGTCTTAGCTTGAAAATGGAAAAAGGCCTGTTAATCAACCTCAGTGACAGGAATATCCAGAAACAGTACAATCACAACAGTGATTGTGATTGCCTAACATAATGCATAAGTAGAAGCAAAACATCTCTCTTACTGCTGCATTTGAGAAAGGGCATTTAAGTGAATTCTTCTATTATCTGTTTTCAGTCAAGTGCATCTATATGATTAAATGTGAAGGTGGGACTTAGACTTTTCATGAAGATTCGAAGAATCCTGGCTCTGACTTTGCCTATAATATTTCAGTGCAGGAATAGTGTTGCTCAGGTTCGGCTGACCTCTTTACTGCCAGCTCTACTGGACTTGTAGAATGAGAAATGTCCCTTGCAATGTCTCGGCAGGAAATGACAAGCATCATATAGACATGCTATGCCTTCACATACGACTTTTTAAAAAGTACTAAGCCTACGCTTCTGCTATATCACTTTTTTTTCCCCCCCAACTTTTAAATGCTTTCCTCACCTGACCTGATGCCAAACTTGCCTACTGTGGCACTGGTTTGGGAAGAGGCCCAAGGGGAAATGTGTCTGTTCTACAGGGCACTGGGTTTTGGCTCTGGTGTAGGTCCTGAGAAGTGTGGAGGACCTGTGTGGGGTGGTGTTCACCCACCTCCACAAGAGACTGATGTTCAGGTGAAAAACTGCGGGCAGGACTGTACAAGGTGCAAGCACTTGTTGCTACTGGAAAGGGAGGGAACGGTTTGTGTACAACAGAAGGAAACTAAGTCGCGGTACACAAGAGCGTAAGATGACAGATTTTGCTTTCAGATTTTTTTCTTAATTTGTCCCTTATCCTCCTTCACAGGAACTTGAGATGCAAGCTCGGGCACACGGACTGTCCCTTGTTCCATCTACAGGCCTTTGCTCCCCTGATATGGTCAACAGGGTCATCAAACAAGAACCTGTGCTGGACAACTGCAACCAAGACATCATGCCGCACCACACAGACCTGTCTTGCACTACCACCCTCGATCTCACTGACGGTACCATCACCTTCAGTGACAACCTTGGAAATGTGACTGAACCGACTGGCACTTACAGCGTTCCTGCAAAAATGGGATCCAAACTGGAAGATATCTTGATGGACGATACCCTCTCCCCTGTCGGAGTAACTGACCCGCTACTTTCCTCTGTGTCCCCTGGAGCATCGAAGACAAGTAGCAGGCGGAGCAGCGTGAGCATGGAGGACACCGATCATGCTTGTTAGCATATACTTGGCACACCTTTCATAAACTGCTTTGTTTCTTGATCAGTAGATTAAATAATTTACCTTTTGTAGAATTTTTTGATTTTTTTTCCTTGTGCTTCATCAGTAGCCCAGTGTGTGTGCGTGTGTGTATATATTATATATATAGGATTTTTTTTAGAATTTTTGTGAAGAAACTTGTATATTCTATTTTAAAACTACCAATGCCTCCAAAATATTGTACAGCATATGTACAGTATCTGTGAACTGGATTCACCAAGAACTTTGAACTGGTCAAATCTACTCAAAGCAATAGAATTACAAATGAAGAGTCTGTTTCTACTGGGGGGGAGGGGGGAATCGTAGAATTGTAAATGCAACCTATTTACTTGGAAACAAAATGTAAAGTTCAAGAATGTAAAGAAACCAAAAAAAAAAAAAAGTCCAATTTGTAATTGTATTAATTGACTAGTGCTGCCTTAAAGATACAGTGTCCCTCAAACGTTGGTCTTTACATGACAAGTGTTTAGGGAAAAATACCCACCCTACTCCACTCAGAATACAAACAAACAAACAAAAAAAAGTGTTAAGACATCCTGATTGTGTTGATTGTGATATAAAATGCTGTTGCTGAAAATTGCAGGGAGATGCAAGTCTCTTTTTCTCAGAGTGCTGTTTAATTTTACTCTGAGCTGATTTGGGTTTTCCTTTTGATCATGGTTCGAGTTTTTCTCTTAGATTTTTATTTTGTTTTGAAACACGCATTGATGGCTTACCAACAGTAAACCAAGCAGGAGCACTGTAAGTTGGTATACGCTCTTTGGACAAAAAAAAAATTGATACATCAGCTGGGCACATTATGTTGTACATATCTAATTGGCTTTATTTTTTTTAAATTGCTTTGTACAGTTTATTTTGATTTGCATGGATTCCTTAGTTATCCTCAACTTTTTGTTTTAAATATATTTGTATTTCATTTGTAAGATTTTTGCCTCTTAATATTGCAACAATTTTTTGACATTTTTAAAACTCATTGGAAGTTTTCTGCGTTCTTTGTACACACTTGAAAGGAAGCTTTTATGCAGGGTTCTGTGTTTTAAGAGAGATTTTGAGAATATTTTGTATATTACAGTCTCACTTTGAAAATGTTTTTAAACACATTTAAGGTAGAGTACAAATTTAGATTAGGTAATAAAACAACTCTGTAGAGAAACTGAACTTACATATTTATTTTTAGTGATACAGAAAAAAGTAGTAATATGCTTGGAAACATAACTATGTAGTTAATATACCCGTTATAGTAATTTTGTGTTTTATTTCAGCACTGGGGCTGACATAAGAAAAAAACAAACAAACAAACAAAAAAAGAGTAAATTACTGTATCTGCAAATAACTGTTACTTGATAACAATGTTATTATTTTTTAACATGCAACAATGTTGTAAAAGTAGTTCGGTGCATTATCTACTCAAGTGTAGTCCTATGCAATAACGGTAGTTATACTTGTATTATATCAAGCCTAGGTGTTTTACAGAGGTGACATGTGGTGTTACGAGCTAGACGGATTGAATGGATTTCTCAATAGCAGCCTACAGCTGACTCGCAAGCGGCAGGCAAGCGTATCTCGTTCAGAATGAAGTGCCTTAAACTCTAGTTGTAGTCTTCCTCGACTAGCACTGACTGAAGTGTGGCATAGGAGAGAGCTTTAGGGTGGTGTTTCATAGGATGCTGAAGTGTAGCATGGTGCCTACGTATAGAAAACAAGAGCTTCCCGTTCTCCTTTGTGCTACACTGGAAATTACATAGGATAAGTGAAACGGTTAGTGACTTGAGTGCCAGTTTGGCAGGCTTCATAAGGAAACCTTGGTCGCAGCAGTTAGTGTTCAGAAATCAAATGTGAATTGGGTAGCGATGGGGCAGCTGGGGACAACGTCAGGAGTTCCCGTAGCCCGTGGCGTGGCTCGCTGAGCTTTCACCCAAACGTTTCCCCGTGGAAGGGTTCTTGAAGCGTCCCCTGCCCGGCCCCGCTCCTCCCGGCGCTGATGGCGAGGGGCGCGGGGCTCGGCGGGGACGCGACTTGCTGTTACGGTACTCGGGGGTCTGCCTTCGTGTCGCTCTTTTCCGTGGCTGTCGCTGGCTGCGTCCGGCTGTCTCTGTTTCTGCTTGAGCAGCGAGCTGTGTGTTAGCATTGATGCAACCACCGGGTTGTGGCTTTTTTTTTTTTTTTTTTTTTTTTTTTTTAATTATTTTTTGAAGGAGGAGCTGGAGTTAGATTATAATGATGCCTCTCCCCCCCCCACCCCGGACAGCTTTTGGGAATGTGTCTTTCCTAGGGTAGTGAAGCTCTGGCCCAGGGCAGGACCCGGGAGCCTGCAGGATGCGCTGCGGCCGTCGCGGCCCTCGGGCAGGGAAATTCTCTGCAAGGCAGCTGTGCCGTAGTTAGCTCCGAGTCGGGTATGCGGGTACAGGCTTCTGGTGCTGCTATTTGGTAATGGTAACAGGTAAAGAAAATCAGGGCTGTAAAATGCTTGTAGCTGTAACACAGGGTTGCGTTACCCTTCCCCGTTAAAATGGGACAGCTCTGCAGCATTGTGCAAAATCAGGGCGTGCTCGCTTGAGTGTAGTAACTGAAAACCACTGAATATATTAAATAAGGGTTTGGGTTGATGCCCATGCTGGGCATTCAGAAATTGAAGTCTAGACTGTGGTATATAAATATTTTTCAAGCTTAGATGAAACCACTGGTACTCACTGACAGCCATGACTTGATTTTTGGCTACATGCTGCGTGGAGACGAGTTATAGGATTCAAGGAAAACCGTTACATCAAGAGCTGGATTTCTTGATAAAAGTCGCTGCGGCCCCAGCAGCTGCGTTGCGTGTTCCCCGTACGTTGTGTTGCTCTGGGGTAACGTACGACTCGGCTGTGCCCTGCTCGCTCTTCACCCCGTGTTCCCTTAGGCTACAGCCCTCCTCTGAGTTTGCCCACCCTTTGAATGGAAGCACGTTGACACTGCGGTGGGGACATCTCTAGGAGACATGGAGCTCCAGGCGGGTGCTAACTGGAGATGTCTTTGCCTGTTTGAGCATTGTGAACGTGTGGCCGTGACATTTTACAGGGGAACGATGGCAGAGGACAGAGAGAGCAATTACAGGCAGGGTTTGGCATGAACTAGGTGGAGCGAGGTGGACAGAAGCTGTTGCCCAGTCTGATGATGGTGTTTTGTGTGACACTGGGCCGGCGGTGGCTTTCCTGAGCGGGTGGATGGGGTACCTACCAGTTCTCACTTTGCCAAAGCCATGCAACAAGCAGGAACGTGCAGAGTACCATGAAGTTCTTCCTTACTGCTTTTGGCCTCTAAAGCAATATTTAACTCTTCAACCTGTAAAAGCAAAAAGAAGGTACATAAGGAAAGCACAAAGCACAAAATAATGCACTTACATTTATGTTGTTTGACATAAAATGCACTGGGGGGGAAGCTGATGTTGATAATAGTATAAATACCTATATTTCTTGAAAAAGTGACATTAATTACTGCCTCTTGCTATGATGCTTGGTACTGTAATGTTGATATTCATCTGCTGTTGACTGCAGCAATAATTTGTGTATGGTCCATAGCACTGTAAATTATGGATCAATATTAATGTATCCAATGAAATAATTTGAACTGTTGTTCTTGATAGATGGATTAAAGCATTTGGTTTTTCACATACGTCTGTGTAAGCCACTCGTTTTCCATGTAAGTGAATCTTGTTTTTCCATGCATTGAAGTCCCAGCAGTGCTCCTGTGTTTGTGACTTGGCGGTGGATGTGTCCGTGTTCCTGACCTGGTGCCGGTCAGCAGCCCCGGTGGTACCGCAGCTGTCTGGTTGTGTTTGTATTGCGGTAGCACGGGGGGAGACGGAGCTACGGATCAGGCCCCTCTTGGGCTTTGCAAATACACACCGAAGCGGATAGACCCCAAACTTACGGTCCAGCGTAAGGAACAAAACAAAAAGGTGGATGTGGAAAAATGTCATTGCCTCTCTCCCCTCCCGTGGGCTCTTGCCTTTCGCCTCCCTCCTTTCTCAAAGGGGTTGTCTCCCAAAACCACCCCTGACTGCGTTGCCCTTCGCCTCCCACCAGATGCCCTGTGTCAGGCATGGCCTCGGTGAGCCCTTGGGGTACCTACACCTCTTCACCACGCTGTCCCTCCTGCAAGGTCACCTACCCCCAGCAGATCTACGCAGAAGCATCTCACCACCTTCTCCGGCTGACCCGAGCACGGAGAGATCCCCGTCCTCTCTCTGCTCACCCGCTGGGTCGCTCCTCTGAACCCCCCGCTCACCTCATGTGCAGACATCTGCTCCTGGACCATGCTGGGAGCTGCAACCAGTGCTGGTTAGGTCTTGTTTTGTCTTCCCATCTTCGTCGTTTCTCCCTGTCTCTCTGTTGCTTTCATCCCTTCTGGTCTTGTTCTTCGACAGGCTGTCGCTTACTGTGCTCACAGCGTGGAGTCCTCGCCGTCTCTGTGGACGTTGCTGCAGCAGCAGTGGTGGCTAATGCCTATCCTCTCATGGGTTTTAAGCCCAGAATACAACCAACAGAAGTCTTGAATTTGGCCTGTCTTGAAAATCTGAAACCTATTAGGAGTAGAAAATACTTAATTCAGTTGCAATTAAAAGTGACTAGCTGTCCTGCATCGCTCAGTTTAAAAACCAACCAAACAAAAAATGCTGGGCAAAGCTAGGACTACGGTAGAAAAGCCCTGCTCCCTCTTCGTAGAAGATACTTGAGTTAAAGCTTGTGTTTCCAGCAGGCTTTGTAATGCTATTTCTTCAAAAATGCAGCACGGTGTTAGAATGTGGCATTGTAGTACTGCGATTGGAAATGTTTTTATGAGCAACCTAGGATATAGTTTCCGATTTAAGTTTGAGATTTTAGATGTATTTTGGCTTTCCTTTTGGTGGTCAGTTGTGCCAGCGCTGTTTTGGGAGTGACTTTCTTGTCGGTGGGAGCAGCTCTGGGTTTTGGCTGGGTTGCAGAACGCAGGAGGAGCGGGAAGAAAACCCGTCACGGGGATAACGGCTGTAAGTAGTTGCTCGGTGTGTGTCAGCAAAGAGCTGGCAGCAGATGTGGTTAGAAGCCTTTTAGTTCCTTTGGACAAGCCTGAAAAATTCTGTGCGGGGTAAGAAAGCGAATGTTAAGGCCGCCGACACCAGGTGGGGTCTGGTTTGCTGGGAAGCCCCGTGGCCGGGCTGTGGGACGCTGTGGGGCTCGGCTGCGTGGTGCAGCGGCACGGCAGGATCCTGCCCCCGTGTCACCGCATCGTGCTTTCCTTCCGAGGAGATGCAACCTGGGAGCTCAGCCGCTCTCGATGCGGGGAAGGAGACGGTGATTGCGTCGCTTCTGCAGGTTCGGCAGCTGCTGCTCCTTTTGCTCTCGCATCTGGGGGTAGTCCCGGCACTGGATGGTGGTCATACTGTGTTTCTGCAGCTCCTTTGAGATTCGCTTGCTTAAAACTGCAGGGACATGGCTTGAAAAAGCGTCCCTGACTTATTAAAATCAGTAAGACTTAATAGGATGCTTGCTCACAGGTTAAACGCATGTGCACCGACCATCGCTGTTGCCTTTGCCTGTGATCTGAAGTGCATCCTTACTTCAAACTGCTCCATTTTTAACCAAGTTTTTGAGAGCGACTCTCTTAATGGGCATGTGTTGAGGCTCGTGTCTCCACCGCAGCCTGAAGCTGCAATTTCTTCCTTTTGATGACTTTCTCACCTGGATTGCAAAAGAGCGAGAAGCCACCTGTGGAACTCCGGCAGTGCTGAACGTGGACAGACGCTCTCGTTCGCGATTCCCTGGAGAGAAGGCAGCTCCCAGCCCTTCGTGCTGCTGCTCTTCTACCCCATCCCTGTGCTTCCCAGGGCTGGGGTCACTGGGGCTGAGGCACCGTCGTGCTCTGTGATCGCAGAACGCAACGACGGTTCCTGTGACAGACCTCTACGTTAACGCTGTCCGAGAGCTGCGCGAGGCAACGAGAAGGCTGCTACGGTCAGTAGGACGAGCCAGGGCATGCAAAGCATCTAAATATCGATTGCTCTTTTAACGTATTTATGAAAATCACCATGGGGTCGATGTACACGGTTGCATATTGTGGATCCCGTCTCAAAGGAGCTATGGGAGAAATCCCGAATGCCCGATGCGTCTGCTGCGGGCAGGGGAGCTGAACGGGGTGTCTGGGGCGGCGGTGGGACACCGGCAGAGGCTTTGGGAGTCAGCGGTTGCCTCGCCATGGCCATCGGTAGGTAGGGCAGCTGCAATTATTTGGGAGGGAGAGCAGGCGCCTGGCTCTAGCGGGAAACCTGGAGTCGGAGCGCGGCGCTCGTCCCACGGGAGCGGGGCTGGGCCAGCCGCTGGCAGGGGTGCGGGACGTGCCCTGCATTCCGAGCGGGATTTGGCAGATGGGACACGCAACCCTGGGGGCTCTGGTCTTGCTCAAATGCTTTGTCTGCTTTTTCGCCGTTCAGCAGTGCCTCTCCAGAGCTCCCCGCTCCCACCGCCTTTCCTCCTTTCCACCTTTGATAGCAGCGAGAGTTAGACGTTAATTAAAAAAGCGGGGAACAGCACACTCTTGCGGGGCTGCGTCCTTTCCAGGCCGGCTTCAAAGCTGTAACGAGGGCGAGCTATGATTTAATACTGTCATTTGCAAGTCATTTTCTCTGAACGCAGCGTGTAATTTGTACCAGCGGTAACGGCTCTGGGCAGACAAGCGCGGAACGGTTGAGCACGTGTTGCGTTGTACGAGGAATCGGGCAGTTGCTGCGATGTTCAGCGCTGTTTGTTTAGCTGCTTTAAATACATTTAGTCAAAATCTTTTAGTGCCTTCGAGATCCCTGGCCCGATTCTCATTTTGCATTGGCTACATTGAATGCTACTATTGAGTGGACATGATTAATAACTGCTTAGATACTCCTTTATTAAAAAACATCAGAGCTCATAATCTTTCTCTTTTTTTTTCTTTTTTTTTTCCCCTGCTGAAAAGAGTTTCTAGAGCAGGTTGTTGCAAAAGAAATTGCTTTTTTGCAGAAATTCATTTTTTAAAAAAAATTCAGAACGTGTAAAGAGTAAAATAATTTCTTGTTCTCTGACCACTAAAGTAATTTTGTTCAAACAAATCCATGAAGAACTTGTGCTGCGGAGAATCCAGCTGGGTCCCGTATGGCTTTCCACTTTTCTCTTTGGAGTA